TTCATTTATTTATTTTTTAATATTTTATTATTATTGTTTTGATATTTTTGAGACAGTGTCTCCCTGTAGCCACAGCTGACCTAGAATTCTCTATGTAGACCAGGATAGCCTTCAACTCACAGAAATCCACCTGCCTCTGCCTCCCAAGTGCTGGAATTAACGGTGTGGACCACTACCACCATGCCTGGCTAATTTTTTTTTTTTTATTGTATGTGTCCCCACTTTTTAAAAAAGGTATTTTATTTATTTATTTTTTTATTTGTATGAGTGTCTTGCCTGTATGTAAGTGCATCCATGTTGTGCAAGGTCTGTGGAGATTAGAAGAGAGTATCAGATTCCTTGGGACTGGAGTTAAGGACGGTTGTTATCCGCCATGTGGGTGCTGGGCATCAAACCCCAGTCCCCTGCAAGAGCAGCCAGTGCACTTAACTGCTGAGCCATCTCTCCATCCCCCTCTCCCCACTTCTGATACTAGTTGCAATTTAGGGGCCCCATGATTTCCCACAAGTTCTAACAATTCACTAGACTCACAGAACTCACTGAAAGTTCTTATACTCAGCTATACAAGGAAACATTAAGATTAACTAAGGATGACTAGCTTTCATAGTTCCAAAGTGCTTTGCAGGCTGCTAAGGGAGAGAAATCAGTGGTCTTACACAGAGCTGGATTCTGCATGTTACAATTCTGAGCTACTAGGCAAGATGTATCCATTGGTACAATAGTGGCAAGTCGATCAGGGTAACCAACTGCTGTCTTGTTTGGATTTGAGTCCTGCTCCACAGGAATTAATTCATGCCTAGTACTATAAATGTGGTCAAAAGCCATAGCTAGGGAATTCATAGGCTCAAGAAGGGAAACTTTTGATATTTTGCTAAGTGGTCATATTGTCGAATTGCCTGTTAAATATTTCTGTTTATATCCATAGATCTGTGCCTATCTCAGCCTTGGTCAGAGAAGCTTCTTATTACAATGGGTAGAGTTAATGAAGAGACTCAACTGTTCAAAGCGTTGGGAGTAAGTGACTGTAAGTGTTCAGTCAAAGATGGGATGTTGATACCACTGTCCCCTCCCTCAGGCTCAGGGAACATTGTGGTAGAGAAGGCAGAAAGAATGTAAGAGTCAGGGATGGGGAGCAGTGCTATGCCCTGAACTATTGCATACATGAACTCACAGCAACTGTGGTTACCTGCATATGATCACACTGGTTTAAAATCTCCAACATGGAGGTGGGAAGGGCTGCTGAGGCTCCACCTTTAGCTGAGGAGCTACTGGTAGTTAACGGCTGCTGGGGGGAAGAAGAATCACTTTCCTTTGGCCAGTAGCCACTGGCAGGCTGCCCATGCACCAGTAGATGACCCCACACCCATGTGCATATAGGCAGTTTTAATTGAACTCAGTGGATTATAATAATAATAGCAATAAAAGTACATGGAGCTGGGAGATATGTTAGAGGAAATGGGGGGGAGTTGGAGGGAGGAGATAGGGGATGAATATAATTAAGCATTTTATATAGCTATGAAATTTTCAAAGAATGAAAAAATGATTAGGAAGGAAAAGATGCATGGGACAGAATCCATTCCCAGTGGAGTCATGGGCAGGGCTAACCTTTTCTGATAAAGGTATATGACAATACAGGTTGGCATTGCCAACCAGGACAGCTCACCTGGGCCTTGGTGTCCAGTTTTTATTGTTGCTCATTTATGTAGATATAGCTTATTGCCCATTTGATCTTTAGTCTTCAGCTCTTCCAGAGTCTGAGTTTATACTATGTGAACCCAAATCCTCATCATAAATTGTCCTAGTTTGTTTCTCCATTGCTGTAACAAAATACTCTGACCAATACCAACTTGGGGAGGAAAGGGTTTATTTGGCTTACATCTTCCAGGTCACAGTTCATCAGGCAGCCCAAGGTAGGAACTCAGGGCAGGAACCTGGAGGCAGGAGCTGGAGCACAGGCCATGGAGGAATGCTGCTTACTGGCTTGCTCCCTTGGCCCCTGCTCAGCCTGCTTTCTTATGCAACTCAGGCCCAGCTGCCCAGTAGGCTGGCCCTCCCACATCACTCAACAATCAAGAAGATGCCCCAAAGATATGGCCACCGGCCAGTCCTATGGAGGCAATTCCCCAATTGAGGCTCCCTCAACCCAGGTGTGTCAAATTGGCACTAAAGTTATCCAGCACAATTGACCCTTTGTCAATTTGACACACAAACACATCACTATTAAACCATAACCTTTCCAATTCTTATCCCCAAGATATGATGTTAACATTATTATCACAACATAAGACAGCACAACCTTAAAAAGCCCCACAGTCCTTAAAAAATCCAAACACTTAAAGTCCACAGTCTCTTTTAAAAATCTCTTAACTGGGGGTTCCTGTAAAATCCAAAACAAGTACTATCTTATTTCAAAGGGAAGAATCGCGCACACCCAAGCAAAACCAAAGTCCAGCAATGTAGCTCAAGGCTGGACATCTGGGAGTCACTCCTGGGCTCCAAAGGGTTCTGGCAGCTCCACTTCTCTGACTCTGACATCCACAGCACACACGGCTTGTCTCGCAGACCCAGGCCAGCTCCATTTCACACCCACTGCTGTCCTTGGTGGTTGTCCCATGGTCCTGGCATCTCCAAAAACCTGGGGTCTCCACTGAAACTGAGGCTGCACCTTCACCAATGGCCTCTTTTTGCCTCTTGGGGTGCAAAGCCTCAGGTTCGCTCCATGACCCCTTCAATCCTGGGGTCTTCACTGCAACTGAAGCTGCACTTTCACCTATGGCCTTTCCTGGCCTCTCAGAGTGCCAAGTCTCGGCCGCTCTCTGTGACCCCTTCACACTTTCAACACCAGAACCACTCAGGATACTCTTACACATTACAAAGTCCTGCTTCCTCCTAGAGATGGAGGCTCGGGCCCCCTCTCGACCACAGCTTCTGTGTGCCGACCCTGAGGAAGTACTTCCCAGAAGATTTCAGCACAGTGATGCTGGTGTCTTGTTACTTACAGCTGATTATTCCGCCCCAGCTAACCAGCCATCAATTGTCCCAGTAAAGCAAAGGGACTGGAGTTAAGGATGGTTCGTAGCTGCCATGTGGGTTCTGGGAATCGAACCCAGGTCCTCTGCAAGAGCAGTCAGTGCTCTTAACCGCTGAGCCATCTCTCCAGCCCCATCTGGTCTCTTCTTAATCATAGCTGATTCTTCAGTCCCAGCTGACCAGAACCCACAGATTCTCAATTCAAAATATCACACAAACAGCCCTGATAGTCTCTACTTCCCTTTGAAGCTTCACAAGCCAGACCTCCATCGTCCACAACTCCTTCAACATAACTGTTCCAAGCTCCACAGCAACAAACTCTAACCATACAATGGCTTTTCCAGCCCAAAGTTCCAAATGCTTCCATAATCCTCCAGTGTCAAGTCTGTCACAGCAGTGCTCCACTCTCTGGTACCAATTTCTGTCCTACTTTGTTTCTCCATTGCTGTGACAAAACATTCTGACCACTACCAACTTGAGGAGGAAAAGGCTTATTCAGCTTACATCTCCCAGGTCACGGTTCGTTAGGGAGCCCAAGGTAGGAATTCAGGGCAGGAACCTAGAGGCAGGAGCTGGAGCACAAGCCATGGAGGAATGCTGCTTCCTGGCTTGCTCTCCTGGCCCCTGCTCAGCTTGCTTTCTTATGCAACGCAGGCCCACCTGCCCAGGGGTGGCACCACCCACAGTGGGCTGGGCCCTCCCACATCACTCAACAATCAAGAAGGTGCCCCATGGACATGGTCACAGGCCAGTCCAATGAAGGCAATTCCCTAACTGAGGCTCCCTTAACCCAGGTGTGTCAGGTTGACACTAAAGCTGTCCAGCACATAAATCAGTTACTATCTGCTGTGGCTCAATGCTGCAGGTAAACACACTCATATCAGTGCATTCCTGGAGCTTGAAAATTGTCCCCTAGGATACATGGGCAAAGGCCAAACCTCTCTTTGGTGAAGTTAATTATTTTTTAAAAAATATTTTCTTTATTTTTATTACTTTATGTAGATGAGTGTATTACCTGCATGTATGTAAGTGTAAAGCCCACAGAGGCCAGAAGAGGGCATTGGGTCCACTGGAACTTGCATTATAGATGGTCATTAGCTGCCTTGTGGGTGCTGGGAATTGAACTCAGGTCCTCTGTAAGAGCATCCAGTGCTCTTAACTGTTGAGTCATCTCCCCAGCGCCAGGAAAACCCATCTTAACTATGGGTGGGACCATTTCCTGAGCAAGGGATCCTGGACTGCATGGGCATAGGGACCTTGGTAAGCAGGATGCTTGCAATCATCTGTTTCCTGGTTGAGGATATGACCAACTGCTGCATGCTTCTGCTACCTTGACTTCCCCACAGTGATAGACTGTGCCTTGAGCTGAGAGCCGAAGTAACCCTTCTCTCCCTTAAGTAGCTTTTGCTAGAATGTGTTATTACAGCAACAAAAAAGAAACTAAGACACCACAGAAGCAGCAAACTAATTTCAGAAAAATCTGACCTACCACAATTACTGGTAGCAGTTTCAACTTTATTGATTCATTATGCTTTTTGTTTGTTTTGAGGGTCTTATTGGGACAACAACTTGCTAGGTAGCTGAGGATGACCTTGAACTCCTAATCCTCCTGCTTCCACATCCCAAGTGTTGGGATTACAAGTGAGCACCATCATGTCCATCAACTCTTTATTTCTGAATATTTCTAAGAGTACCTCTGCTCATCTAAATCTTGTCTAATTCTTATCTCTCACAATATTCTTTTTTAACATTTTATTTATTATTTTTATTTTATGTGTATGAGTGCATAGCCTGCATTTGTGTAAGTGCACCTGTGTCATGCAATGCCCACGGAGGTCAGAAGAGGGAGTCAGATCTTCTGGAACTGGAGTTAGGATGGTTGTTAGTTGCCATGTGGGTGCTGGGAATGGAACCTGGGTCCTCTGCAAGAGCAGTCAATGTTCTTATCTGCTGAGTCAACTCTTCAGTCCCTTCTCACAATATTCTTAGACCTATAAGTAGAAATGAAAGTCTAGTGATGCATTGTGATTATTAGCACAGGTTCGAAATGAGCTGAGGAAAAGCAGAGCAGAATAAAGAGCTTTCCTATTTATCTGCTGATTTATTTTTAGGGTGCTAGGGCTTGTTCTAAAGCCCTCCACAACTGAGCCACATCCCCAGCCCCAAGAATACTCCTTAAAGATGAATGAGCAAGCCAGGTGTAGTGGTGGACATCTGTAATCCCAGCACTTTGGAGGCTGAGACATGAGGGTTTCAAATTAGAGGTCAGCTGAAGCTACATTAGGAGACCCTGTCTCAAAAATGCAGAAACGAAAACAAAAACACAGGTTAATTAGCAAATTAATATCTTGGCAATCTCATGTCAGACCCCCACATCTTTTGCAAAGTTTACTGATTCATGCAATCAGGTAGGGGACACTGTTGAAGATGTCTCCCTCCACAGAGCCCAGAAGCACCCACCATTACTCCTAGGCTTTCACAGAGAAAGTTGCACTGACATTGATTTTCTTCTGTGGTCCCTTCTAAAAAGGCAAGAATTTCTCCCCCGCCCCTTTTTTTTGAGACAGGGTCTCTCTGTAGCCCCAGCTGGCCTGAACTCACTATGTAGACCAGGCTGGCTTTGAACTCAGAGAACCATCTGGTCTGCCTCTGCCTCTGGAGTGCTGGGATTAAAGGCATGTGCCACCACACCCAGCTTTTTCTCCCATTTTTTAATACTCAGAAAGTACTCAATAAATGTGGATAGGGAATAAAACAGCTCCACTCTCCATGTCTTACTTTCAAAGTCCGTTTTTCAGTGTTGGAGAGCTGACTCAGTGGTTAAGCGTACCGTTTGCTCTTGCAAAAGGCATGAGTTTGGTTCCCAGCATCCACGTGGTGACTAACAACTGTCTGTAACTCCAGTTCCAGGTTATCTGATGCCTCTTCTGGCCTCCTACATACATGCAGGCAAAATGCTCATTTTTTTTTAAGAATTTTTTAATTTATTTATGTTATGTCTGCATATGTTTAAGTGAACCTGTGTCATGCAGTGCTCTTGGAGTGATGCTTCTTCTGGACCTCTACATACATGCAGGCAAAACACTCACATATACTTTTAAAGAATTATTTATTTATTTATTTATATTTTTTTTGTGTGTGTTATATCTGCATGTGTTTAAGTGCACCTGTGTCGTGCAGTGCCCTTGGAGTGTTGTGGGGTGCTTCGCCAGAGAAGACCACTCAGACACAGTTTTGCCAAATGAAAGTTGTTACTGGCCAGGGCTACTACACAAGGGTATCAGAACCCAAGTGTGTAGTAGCATCGAGCCATCTCTAGGGTAAACTTTTATACAGAGAAACCATAACTGGGGTGAAAAGTTTAAGTTCCCAAGCTTACAGGTGGCGAGCCCCCTTAACAATTTCTATTCTATTAAGTAAAAATTACTGTTTTGCAGAAGCAAGCCAAGCATAACCTACAGAAACCATAAATCTGCAGTTAGCAGGTGCACTCTGGAACACTCTGACCTGTTTTCCAGATAACTGGGGTCCAGCTGACATGTGTTCCCATACCCTGGGCCAACTGCCTGATAATTTCGGAAACTAGAGTCAGCCTAAACTTTAACATGGTGTAGCTATGGTCAAGAAGGTGCCCTATTACAGGAGGACAGAAGAGGGCATTGGATACCCTGGAACTGGAGTTACAGATGGTTCTTAGCCACCATGTGGGTGCTGGGATTCGAAACTGCAATAACAGCTAGTGCTCTTAACCACTGAGCCATCTCTCCAGACACCCACTCATACACATTTTTATTTTATTTATTTATTGATTGATTGATTGATTGGTCTTTTTGAGACAGGGTCTCCCAGTAGCCCCAGATGGCCTGGAACTCACTGTGTAGACCGGGCTGACCTCAAACCTACATAGATCTGCCTGCCTCTGCCTCCCGAGTGCTAGGATTAAAGGTGTGTGGCACCACACCTGGCTCTTTTTTTTTCTTCCTGTTTTCTTCATACACATTTTTAAGTCTTTTTTTCTTTTCAGAGTCTCATGGGGCTTAGGATAGTCTCAAACTTGCTATGTAGCCAAGGTGTGTACCACCATCCACCATGCTCAGTGGCTTATGTGGTGCTGAGGAGCAAGCCCAGGGCTTCCTACATGCCAGACAATCACTCCACCCTGAGTCCTCTCTACTTTTCTTATTTAGCAATTCCCTTTAAAAATTTTATTAATATTAACAACAACTTTCATTTACAAATATCTTTTTTTTCTTTCATTTTTTTTTAGCCACCATGCTGGCTAAAAATATGATTTTTTTTTTTAAGTCTTTGAGACAGGGTCTCCTTGTAGCCCTAGTTGGCCTGGAACTCACTATGTAGACCAGACTGGCCTCGAACTCACAGAGATCTGCCTGTCTCTGCCTCCCTCCTGAATGCTGGGATTAAAGCATGTGCCACCATGCCTGGCCCAAAATATGATCTTTTAATTAAAGGGTCTGTGTACTGTAAAAGTTGAAATAGCATGGCTGAGCATGTAGAGCATCAGTTTGTAGACGTCCTGGAGTGCCTGATTGTTAGCATTCAGCCCCACATCTGCAGAAAGAAGCTGAGACCTTCTCAATGCTCCTTGCCATCCATTGATAGTAGTGTTTGGGTTCTCATCCAAGTGAGAGGGGAGGGAGCAAATATACTGTCACCCAGAGGGTACAAATATGAATACGCTGTGTTAGTGCTTTGATTTGCTAATTCCCAAGCATACCCACATTCATTCACTGTCTTGGATGGAGGGAAATTGAGGGTTCCAAGGGACCAAGGTCAGGTGCCTACGTTGCAAGAGCACATGGCTCAGTGGGCTTGTTCGAAGTAGTTTTTTGGTTGCAAGGTTAAATTGAAATGGCAAAGCTGACTCCATTCTGTCTGACTTTTGTTTTACCCTGTGTTTCTGCTTAGCTCTCCCTGCTCTAACTGCAGTCAGCCAGGCAGAACCGGTCCCGTGAACACTACACCTGCATTTCACAGGGTACACTGTTTCTACAATACCGGGAAACTTACAACTAGCCAGGTAGCATGTCCTCTCCCAGGATCTCCATGAAGCCCACTGTTTCTACAATTCTTTTTAAAAATTTTTTTATTTATTATTTTTATTTTATGTGTATGAGTGTATTGCCTGCAGGTAGGTGGGTGTTGTGCAGTGCCTGCAGAGGTCAGAAGAGGGTGTTAGATCCCCTGGAACTGGAGCTATGGAAGGTTCTTAGCTGCCATGTGGGTCCTGGGAATCAAACCCAGGTCCTCTGCAAGAGCAGCCAGTGCTCTTAACCACTGAGCCATTTCTCCAAGCCCATTTCTGCAATTCTAAGAAACTTGTTTTTCCTAACCAAAACTTTTTGTTGCCTAAAAACCTCTTTGTTAACTGACCTGCACCAGCTTTGGTGTGACTATGGTGAACTGATGTAACTATGGCTATCGGCTTTGGCCCTGGCATGATGTGATTATAGTTTTAGGCTTTATACAACCTACCCTGCTTTTCTTTGGGGTTGAGAGTTCTTTGGGGTGTTGGCCCCTTCTCTGACTGCAGGCTAATAAAACTCCTAATTTGACCATCACTATGTAGTGTTCCTCTGGGCCTTCTGCTTGTTCTGTATTACAAAATAAAAGGTCATTAGTCCAGGTTCTGTCCATTTTGTAAACGTCATTTCTACAACCCTACTTGATTTTAACCAAATAAACAGAAGAAAAATGCTATTAGTACTGTGATCTCAGCAGATTATAATAATGCATAACAAATCTGGCACTGAAAGCCCAGCACATGCAAATTTATCTGGGAATGAAAAGTAGGAAGGATAGGAGGAAACCAGCCTGGGCAACATAGTGAGACCTTGTCTCAAAACACAACACGCACATACACACACACACAACCCCATAAGAACTCTAAAAATATAGAGTAGTAGAATCAGGCTCAAATGAAATTAAATCTTGGCCAAGAATTTCATGTTGTTAATTAACAAGGATTATACTAGTTTAGGAAAATGTTCAGTTCTCATATGGCCTACCCATTCTGATATTTTTGCTTCAGTTACTTAGTAAGACAGGAAAGATCACTCCCTTCCGCAACATAATTTTGGCAAGTTTCCTGCCTCTCACAAAACACCCTCCATTCAGAAGAGTTTGCTTTGATGGTTTCTCATTGAACAATTGCCCACGATCGCCAACCTGTTTGGCATAAGCACAACTCAAAGTTTTCCTCTCTCCAATTCAAATCATCTCTTGTCTTTAGACTTTTACCTGCTTTATGCTTTGTCCATGTATGTTTTTTCTTTATTTCTTCTCCTGCTTTCGGTTTTGTGAGACATGGTCTTTTTTTTTTTTTTTTAAGACAGAGTCTCCTTGTAGTCCTAGCTGGCCCTTAACTCACAGAGATCTGCCTGTCTCTGCCTCCCAAATGCTGGGATAAAAGGCATGCACCACCACATCCAGCATGAGACACAGTCTTTTTTATTTTATTATTATTATTATTATTATTATTATTATTATTATTATTAGTCTTTTTGAACAGGGTCTTCCTGTAACCCCAGCTGGCCTGGAACTATGTAGACCAGGCTAGCCTTGAACTCACAGAGATCCGCTTACCTCTGCCTCT